ACTATATCAGATGTTGCAGGTTTGGTGTCAGATGAAACTTGTTCTGCTCTTGATGGACATGGAGGTTGTGTTGTTGGCGTCACTACTGCAGGTATGTCTCTCATGCCTCAGGTTGAGCCAATGATGGAGATTGAAGATCACCACGCCTCTTGGGAAATATGTAGTTTGTTCACATTGTTATCCATCTACTGTATGCTGAATGGTTATATAATAAAACTTTTGTTGATATAGTCTTTAAAGTTTTCTTGAGACTATCTTGATTTTTCCTTGACTATGTATAGCCTTTTTTGTGTCATCTAATGAGTTTTCCTTCAAGAAATTGACTACTGTATGCAGATTAGTTCTTTAATAATTTTTTTGTTGATATAGTCTTTAAAGTTTTCTTGATTTTTTCTTGACTATGTATATTTCATGTCATGCATGACTTCCTGCTTATCAAGCCTTTTGTGTCATCTAATGGGTTTTCCTTCAAGAAATTGCCTATTTATTAGCTTGCAAGTTGCTAGCAAGTAAGTAGCAACTTTCTAAAGATACATTTAATCATGTCTTTGTCATTTGTCCTGATATATACATTTATTTTAATTAAATGCTCAACTTTCTTTCCTCATACTTTGTACATGTTAAGTTTAGTAATACTTAACTAATCAAGCTAGTTAGGTATCCTTGATTTAAGTATGATTTTTGTTTATAAAGACTTGAGCATTTGCAATGGCAAGACTTCTTTAAAATCATTTAAATAGTGTCTTTTGGATGAGATTGTAAATGATGAATAAAATGAGGTGCTAAAATATATCGTCAAGATTTTTTGTATAGAAACAAATTTAGTTTTACCAGAACTGCTGAATTGAGTTTCTTCCCGTACTTTAGTTAAAATGGTTTCCCTACATACTCCCTTGAGGACAACCAACTATGGCCACGACATATGTTGTAGTTACTCTACCAGCTAGCAATTGCAGTTTATGTTATTTATCGATCATGGAACACTCATCCCCTTAAATATGTCAATGTTCCTATTATGAATGCAGGAATGGTCAAATATGGGGAGAAGACTTTGTCGTTGCAGTCAAGAAGCAAGGATGGATTCATAGAATCAATTCTCCCTCCTCCAGACCCAGGGCCAAACTATGCTAAATTCTTGGATGATTACATTGCTAAGTCACTGTTTCTGGTTTCCAAGCATGTGCTCATCTCATTTTATGCAATTTTGTACTTTATAAATTTATTTAGTAAAATGTCGATAGTAATCAATCATGTCATATGTTTTGTTTGATATGCAATTGTCTGTTATGTACTCAAAAGCTTGATTGAGACGGCTCTTAAGAAATCACAGCTATTAGTCCATATGATGTCGTATATGCCAAGATCCATGGTATTGATGTTTCTTTCTTTATTTCAGCTTCTTTTAATGTTAAGTAGTCATGAAATACATTCCTTCTTGATTAGTATTAACTTATTGTATTGCATCATGCACTGTCATTGCAAGTGTTGCGATTGCGATTATTGTGGTTGTTGGGGCGTGAATATTGATCAGAAGATGCTTGAAATTCATAGTTTAGAGATGGTTAAATTAAGATTGAGATTTAGATATGTGATGTTTTAATTTTTGGTGAGATGAACCAAAGGAACCTGCCCAAACTTATTTGATGTGATTCTTGACGTGGTTGGTTGCACATCTGATTTTAAATGACACCACAATCGCAACTATAACTGCTGGTTTTGGAGAGATGAACCAAAATACATGCCCAAAATCTACTGATGTGATTCTTGATGCGGTCGCACATCTGGTTTTAAATCACACCACATTTGCATCTATAATTGTGGGTTTTTGTGAGATGAAACGAAAGAGCATGATCGAAATTATTTGATGTGTTTGCTTATCTCACTTTGATTCACACCACAATTGCAGCTGTAATTGCATATGCGGACTGCAATTTAAAACACAGTCTTACCTTCCATTTGCGATTATATACTGATTTTGAGTGTCTTATAGTCTATATATTATTTTGTCATCAAAGTGGAGAAAAACTATGCATAATATAATACCTCTTTTCAAGGCTGAGATTCCTGATACAATGTCTGTGTATTGTCATGTACTTTTCAATTTGATCTTTTCTTTGTACACATAGTTCTTGGCTTGACTTAATCCCGTTATATTCAAATTTTCTAATAAACCGTGTCTTTGAAAGTGCTTTCTAAACATGCACTTATGTGTCCCGGTGCTATAAATAGTGGGCTGGGCTTGATTGGTAACAATGTCCAACTTGCTAATGAACCAGACACTTTTGATGGCTATGCCTCAAGTTATGACCACAATCAGAAACCAGTAGTGCAGGATAATCTTTCATACTTAGTTTAGTTGTATCGCCTTTTTTAGTTAATATTAATATTATTTGTTGGTATGTCTATCTATTTGGGTGTATGTGTATATTTTTTGGCCTTAGAAATTGACATCTGTCATAATGGGTAACAATTTTATTATCAGGTGATGGATATAGACTGAATAATGTTGACCCTTTTGCTTCTGGGAACTTTTATGGATCTGTGGCATCTTCTAGGTCTATGATGAACACTTAGAATAAAAATTCAGTAACATTTCCATCTATACCTAAGACTAACTCATCGATCAGCAATCACTCAAATTTTCATGGTATACATCAGGCTGCTCATATGAAATCTCAAGCAGTCGATCAATTGGAAGACAATGATAAGTTAATAGAACTTTAGAAGTGTAACACAGTGATAAGTTACTACTTTTAGTGTGTTTACAATAATAAGTAACACACTGATAATTTGCTATCATAAATAGTAAAGTACATCTTTTAGTGTAGTTCTCAATGTAATAATATATATTTCTTGGAGCATTGATTTGATTCAATATCTTGGAGCATTTATGTTGCATTCTATAGAGTGATAAGTTACTAGCTCCGTCTTTATTACGTACAACCTTATCATACTAAGTTTGAATTGAATAGCACTAACCCATTTCCAATCCAATTAGGACACTCAATTTGGAGAATAAATTTTTCGGATACATGTGTTTTGTTGTATTGAAGTGTGAAAAACTTGAGAAATAAATCAATATTTATACATAGTATAGATTATAAACATAGATATAAAATTTCATGCAACGAAATTGTTACGAATAACGAAGATGCGTTTAATCATGTAATGAAAGTACTTGAAAAATAAATCAATATTTATACATAGTATAGATTATAAACACGGATATAAAATTTCATGCAACGAAATTGTTATGAATAACGAAGACACGTTTAATCATGGAATGAAAGTCTTAGACCTCTCATGTTTTACTAGTAATGAATCTGTTGATACATGGTATTCTGATAACCAACCACTTGATCCATCAATTTCCGAAGAAATAGAGGGGTGTTTACTTCTTGATCGTGATTGTTCTGGCAATTGTGAAGGTGGACATTGCAATCATCTTCTTATCCCAAGATAATTATTCATCAACTTCGATTAACAATCAATTTAACAAACTATGTATCAAACTGTAGAGAGAAATATTGTATCACTGTACAAACTTTCTTTAATGAACATAAATATTAAGTTTTTTCTGTAACATAAAATTGAACAAGAATATAAGCAAAAATGATATAGGATAGAAACTTATAATGAACTTATAACTGTAGGAAGAAATTTTGTATCACTGTAAAAACTTTTTTTTGATGTAGTGTTGGAATGGTGAATAACTAAAAACTTATATAATCCTCCACCATTAGCAATGTGTTTCCAATTGAACTTATTTATTATGAATCTTAAGCCGATAGCCATGTTTTGAAAATACCATTTGGATTCAACCTTAAAGATGCACTTAACAACAATATTTTATAATAGAAACGATATACATAGTATTAAAAATTTCTTTTCTTTTTTATCTAAAACCCATTTTTAAATAATTAGTATTAATTATTTATTCAATTTATAACATATTAAATATATAATTATATAATTTGCAAATTAAATATATCTTAACTAAATATTTTAATTAAAAATTATATGTATTTATATTTTATACTCAAATGAAATAGTATAAATGATACAAATAAGAATGATATATTTTTGTTAGTATTTCAATTTTATATTATTTCTTTAATTAAAACTCATTTTATTATTTTATACTTATTACACAAACTAACAATATAAAATAGAATTTTTACAAATTTAATTAATCTTTTATTTAAATTATTTTTTATTATAAATAATATTATAATATTGAATTAATTTTTCTTTAAAAATAAACTCTACTGAACGAACTCAATAAGACGGTCAAACGGTACCCGTGGGAAAGGAGGGATATCATACTAGTAAGAAACATAAATTTTTTTCCTTCAATTAATTTGCAAGTGACGCGTGGCTTCCTATCAGCTCTCTATAATATTTTTTGGTTCCCTACTTATTTCAATTTTTTTTGATGCATCGCTACTTTCAATTTCAACTTCCGCAAACATTAATTTTTTTCCTCTACCTTCTCATGGCGGTTACGATCTTCAATCTTTTCCTGTTTCATACCTCCATTATCAGCGGTTACAGACGTCCTTCGTGGTTAATTTACGTTTCAACTCTCAAATTTAATTCAAAACGGTTTTTCTTTTAATCATCCCAAACCGTTCCATTCAATCATGGTTGTATCAGCAGTTACGACATTAAAATCATGATTTCAAAAACGTTTTAATCTCCATATTTGGTATGCTGTTATTCACTGTAACTAATTTTCCCCTAAAATTACCATTTATCGATCACTTTAATTTTGGTAGATGCGTATAAATTGAGTCATGAAATTTCCTATGCTTTTCTATAGGCTTATTCTCAGTTCTATTTGTGTATTAAATTAACAATATGATGATGACATCTATGGTTGATTTTGGGCATATTGATGCATCATTTTAGAATATTGTTAATTTAAGAGATTAGATTGATATGATTATAGAAATTTAGGACTAAATTGGATAATGAATAAGTAAATTACCATCCTGCTGATGAATTTGTTTTTTTATTTCCTTTATAACAAGATAATGAAGCTGCCTGAGGTTACACCACAACTATTGCAGGTATAGCCAGATAATCTGTTTGTCATTTTTGAAACTGTTTAGTTTGGAAAATCTCTTGGCCAATGCCATAATCTATTATATACTGCATTAAGCCAAAAGAGCACTCATGTTCACATTCTTATCTCGCTAAGGAACTAATAATTGCACTAAATATTTGCCTAGAGCCTTGTACCTATTGCAGTTACTAGTATCCAAACATTCTTATTGCAGTTAAGGAACTAATTTGTCAAAGGATACCTATTGCACATTCTTATATACATAGCTGAAGAAATAATAGTTACACAGTAATAGTATTGTTATTATGGTACTCTTAACATAATAATAGTAAGCTATTATTAAAGAATATGTAGTTACATAATAAGGCTTCATGACACTAATATCGTTATGGTACACAAAGGAAAGCAATTGGTATTGTTAACATTCTTATTGCAGGAGTATTACTGCAATTTGTTCATAAATGGTGAAGAAACCGACGGTCAGGTTAAATTCAAATTTCAGATGTTTGGGCTTTGGATCACTGATTGTGTTGTTCTCCTGGTAGAATGCTCGCCGAGAGAATGCCCGGCGAAAGCTATTCTTGGTGTTTTCGCGGCAAATGACGACGCCATAAAAATTGGTTCCCCGCCTGTATAAGCTTTTATCAGAAAACATGATTTCTGAAAGAAGCTGGTTTTTTAGATTCTAACTGTACAAAATGTTTGTAAGCTAACTGTCATTTTATAGTGAAATATTCTAACTGTCAATTTATAAGCTAACTGGTTTTTGAGATTCTAACAATACAAAATGTTTGCAGGTTGTTTGGCCTTGGCAGTTGGATGTAGTGATAATGCAAGTGAGATTTTCGAAGATTGTGTTGCTTCTAAGTTGTTTTCGATAAGTCTGTGAAGATGAAGCACCATACCAAGGTAAGAAATACCATAAGTGAATTAGAGGGAAGACGGGACACCAAAGTCGTTGGAACATCAATCACGGTGGTACAAAACATGTCAACAACGAAAGCACGTATTGCTGCGTGATGATTTGGCAATGGCTAAGCTCAAAGAATGGAATGTTAATGCTGCTTTAAAGTTATTTCAGGTTAGAAAAATCTTCAAATTTAAAATGATGTATGAAGAAGGATATGTTGTTTTGAATGATAAAAATATTCTCAGTTTTGTTCACTATTTTGCAGTATAGTTTACTAGCTAGACAAGACTGAATAAAATAAAAGCGAAATAGTTTAGTTGGGTGGTGTTTGGAAGACCATATTTGGATTTATATTATGAACTGCATATCAATTTCGCATGAACCTCGAAGATAAGTAACATGATCTTTATATTTGGCTAATTAAGTATTCATGTGCAATATCTATTCCATACCTTGTTAATTTGTTTACGCATAATATGTAATAATCTCTGAGTATTTTAATCATCATACAAGGGCAGATGAGCACAGTCTAATCCCGATATTAGAATTGTGAGAAGCACGGTCTACTGTTTTGTTCAATGTTGATTTTTATGACATTTTTCAGCTCAGGCCCTATGGTATATCATATGAAGTGCGTCTCTTAACTATGTAGATAGGCTGATAACTGTCTAAATCATGCAGGATTCATTGTCATTTATATATCTCCATGTCTGGTATTATATTCATCTCACATATGTTGCAGTTTGTGGAGCTGTTGGACATTCCATTACATAACTTTTAATATCCACTTTTAATGAATAGATTGTACTTACTGCAGGGAATTTCTTCTCTATCTATTGTTCATCTTCTTAACATTTACCTAAGTGGTTAGTAATTCTCAACTTAGAAAGTTTTGAACCAAAAGTCCAATTTCTATTTGCTTCTATAAACTAATAATGTGACAATGATTATGTATGTCGCAGAGTATTCTGGTGTGGTGGATTTGGTTCTATTATATCTGCCCATGTCAATATTCATTACGCGGTATTATAACATCTCAACTTGGTGATGTGGAAACAACAATTGTGGGACCACGGTTCAAAGGCACCGTGAATATTGACATGACCAAGAGCATCTATTGTGGTTGTCAAGAGACATGCCCAGTTTATGCCATTATTGAAGGAGCAAACTTTGAATTTTCTATTGAGACTCATGAGGCTCCTTATCTGTTCCTTTATATTGAACTATGTGAGTATCTTTAGTGCTTACCAAAATTGTTTATCTCTTTTTTGGCTGTTGATTTTAAGTAAACTTTTTTTGTTTAGTTGTTTATTACTGATTATGTGTTTTAGCAGTTAAAGGAGCTTCTATATGACAAAGAGAAGCTGCTTGAAAATGGGGATAGATGGAAAACGGAAATTGCAGAGAACCTGATATCTGAAAGCCTTTATCGCTGATAATCCTGTTTGATCCATTACTGCTGCTTATACTGTCTTATTATGCACTAATAAATAAAATGATCAGTGAAATGGTCCTTAAGATTTGTATGGAGTAATAGTTGTTCGTCAACTTTAATTTTTTGGTGGACATTTGTTCCATTTCTAGCATGTATGCAATTGTGATTTTTTCTCTCATGAAATCTTTAACTAATGAGTAAATATCAGTGACACTAGCTCTGCTGTTGCATTCTTGTATGTATTCATGTACTTGCTTGCTGTCTTCTCAGTTGAAGCTGATGGAGTTAGTAATTTGGAGTTGTCCCTTTGGTACATGGGTATATCAAGACCTGGTATGACAGAAAATTTAAGCATTAAAGAGAACTTTAGGGTAGCATCAATTCTGAAATAGATCTTAGAATTTCATTTTAAGCATACTGGGAATGTGTGGAGAATATCCACACTAGAGGGTAAATCATAATCATATGGAATATGGGATAGTCAAATAGAGATGTAATGAAACTAAGAAAGACTTTAGGTGAAACCATTATGCAAGGAAGTCTCTAGGCCAAACCATTAGGAGGGGTTTGTAACTAAATGGCCTATCAATAAAAATATTGGTTTGCTCAAATTCTACTCAACAGTACTACAGCACCACTAAAGCCACTATTTCATAATATTTCGTAATAAATAGCGTATCATGGAAGATTAGTGATTCATTCAAATCGTCTCTCAGGATGCACGTGAGGTATGTATCCACTTAATCAACTCTACATTATGTCTCTCAATATTTTATTCACTCTTTTGTTGGAGTTGCAGGATTGATCTGCATCATCGATTTCAGAGTGTGTCTGCATCAGCGAGCTTATTTCCAGCAGATTCTGAGTATGGTGGTTCAGTCTATCGTCAGTGATGCGTGGGGGAAAGGCATGGTGCTCTTTGGTTCGGAGTAGCTTAGGAGCTTATCTTCATCGGAGTTTCGTTGTCCTAATTTTTTCTCTTGCTGGCAGCTCTTTATATTCAAGTACAGTAGGATGGAGTTCAAGCAATTATCATATAACTCAAGTTTCTGGGACTATACTATTGTAGGAAACACTCATTTCCTTCTTCTCCCTTCATTGCAAGATATCAATGAATACTTGAATATAATTGGCATAAAACATGCAAGGCTGCAAAGAAAAAATTCAGGATTTCAGTAAAAACAGTTTTAAGTCATATGAAATATTTTCCTTGAAATATGGAGTTACTACTAATTCGTTTATCCGAAAGAAAGGGCATGGATATTTTTACAAATCAGCTTCCTAATCACGAAGCTACAGTCTCAGGAAGAGGGGTTTAGAGAAGTCTTTCCGGTCCCTCTGTCCGAGAAGCGTCTTTACAACGACGGCCCATCATACAATGATGGATGACGAAAGCTTGCTAGAGAAAGCCAAAGCACCAGCCAGCTGATGGAAAAAGCCTGACTACCGGATCATAGTTTCAGTCATTCGTTGAACCTTGGGCGCTAACTTAAGTGCCTTGCTATGAGAATGTAGCTTCGCTAACTTTTGAACCTTCGTGCTAAGTTTTGGTTCTACATTCAAAAAATGTGACTTCTAATTTAGTCTTAGATAAAAATCCATAATAAAAGGTAAAACTCAAAACAGTTCTTAAATTCAGAATTCGTAATTTGAAGTTTTTTCTTAATTGTGACAACTACCAAGAGTAATATCACATAACTACATTATATAATTCAGGTTTACAACTACAAATGTTTGAGTAATCAATGTTGGTAAGACAACAATCAAAAGATATCATATATATATATATATATATATATATATATATATATATATATATATATATATATATATATATATATATATATATATATATATATATATATATATATATAAAGTTTCATTTATAAACTATATCACATTACAAAATTTTACAATGACATTTTGAACAGGATCATCCAAAAAAGAATATAATTTTCTACTGGTTTTTAACAATATTTTAAAATGTTAAATATTAAAACAAAAGTATCAATATTTTAAATGTTACGTATTAAGTAATGCATCATTTAACATCTCTTTGAACATTGTAGCATTGTATTATAAATAGGACAAACTATGTTCCAAAACTCTCACCATGATGAGTTCTAAGGTATATGCCTAAAACAGAGAGTCAAATAAAATGGATTACGAGGCTAACCCACATACACACTCCCACTTTCAACTAAATCTCCCAATAGACATCACATAAAAATAGCATGTCAGGTCTCATTAAGACAACAACTGTGAGCATATAGTAGCTGCTTTCAAAACATTTAAGTATAACAAAATAACACCAAAAGATTTAAGTTCATACAAAAGCAAAACAATAACTCACATATCCAATCACCCATAAATTTAGAAAATGCATAATATCAAGTCATACTCATAATCAGTTTCTGATTCTGAAGCTCAACCCAAAACAAGTGCAATATTTTTAACAAGCATAAAGGTTTATGTTACATAAAATTTTAGAATCATCAAAGGACATATGACCGACTACTCCACGGCCTCTCTAATCATCATCTCCATGGTGGCGTCTCCTCCTCTTTTCTGATTTCTTAACTTCCCCACCCTTCCTTGAATCATTATATCCATTGCTAGAATCATTGTCAGATGAAGACATGGCCTTCTTGCTTTTCCGCTTGTGACGCGATGAGGAATCCTCAGATGTTTCAGAATCAAAATCTGACAGACGGCTTCTTCTTCTCCTCTTCTTCTTCATACTCTTCCTTTTCTTGTGTCTTTTCATCACTATCAGCAATAGACCTCTCAATCGCTGAATCAAACTCAGAATCTGAACTCTCGATATCCTCTTCCTCCTCTTCTGAGCTCTCTAGATTGCTTTTCTTATCCACCTTCTCATACTCACCCTTCAATTTATCCAATCCAACTAGAGACTACAGTGCTTCATGATCCTTCTCGTCATCTTTGATTTTCACGTAGTTCTTGCACTGAAACTTGAGGTGCCCAACACGATCACACCTCTTGCAGGCTCCACGAGACACATCCACATCGACATTGGTTATCTTAGCAAGCTGTAGAAGCCCTTGGAAGCTGACTTTTGGAAGTGTCCTTGTCTTCCTTATTGGGTGCATAGGGTCATAGCCAATAGCACATTGCCATATGCCGTGTGTTTGAAGAGCTGAACTACTGTGAACCCTATTGTTCGCAGGCATGTGAACCCTACATGCTGTAGTCGACATATCTTAAGATTTCAAATAAATTCCTAAACCCGGGAAGAAATAAAAATAAAAAAAAGGAAATTATCATAATTAAAACAACTTCATAAATATCATCTAAATATTTATATAGTTATTAATCAAAATATTGAATATTAATAAGAATATAAAATTATTAATTAAAATATTAAATATTACATAAACATGAAATTATTAATTAAATTATTAAATATTAATATAAACATAAAATTATTAATTAAAATATTAAATAATAATAGAACAATTTTATTATTGATTTAAATATTTTAGATAATAATTCTAAAATAAAATTAATTCAAATATTTTTACATATTTAAAAAATTATAGACACTGTTAAAAAAATTTATTTTCTTTTAATTATATTTTATCAGTTATTTATCAACTGTCGGACGATAAACAGGATGTGGCATGTCCAGAGCCTTCTACGATTATCGTGTAAACCATATACAGTGACAAGTGTCCAGTACCTTCAACATTCTGCTACGTGCCTCCGAAACTTTCCTTCTCCACTGTAGTAACTTACATCGCTGTCCATAAACAAACAGTTAAAGCACTCATGATCCATCAATCTATATAATATAACCACACTACAAGATAAAACAACCACCATAATCAGCTTTCAGATCTAGATTTTCCACTAGTAACTAACTAACCACAACAGTTTCATCAGTTTTTGCTCTATTTTATTTGTAATCATGTTGAAGCCTACGGTAATTTTTTCTATCTTTCCAATGAATTCTTGTTTCTATTTATGGCTTTTGAATTCTTATATATGATGCAGATGGGTAATTGGATGGTACTGCTGAAAAATGGCTTTGGAAGAGGAAGTAGAGCATCATACACAAGTTCAACAGTACCAAAGATGAAAGCCTATACTCCACCAGCATCTGATTATAGATACACACACAAACAACAACATGGAAAACAATCTTCCAAGTCAGCAAAGCAAGACTTCGTACCGGTTTACGTTGCTGTCGGGATGATAGCTTTGTCAACAATGTTGGGTCTCCACACAGCATGGCAGCATCTAAGGAACAACCCAAGCGTGCGTGTGAAGAAACAAGGGAGAGAGACTGTTCCTGAAGTAGTTGAACCTGAACATGTTACGGAGGAATCTGATAAATTGTATAAGAATTCCTTTTTTAGGAAAGTTGCGCATGTTCAGGAACGAAGTTATCCTGATCAAAATCAAGTTCCTAGTTCGATTAACAAGGATGTTTTTGCTTATCAGCCTCGTGTTGAGACTCTTAAGTCTGTTGGTGTTGATCGCTCTCGATCCTAAGTGGGACTGTTGATTTAATTAACTAGTAATGTTTCTGGTTTTGTGAAATTATTTCCTTTTTAGTTTGTTATTGTGGACGACAAATAAATAAATGAATGGTTAGGTTTGGTTTTGTACATATGACTAAGTGGATTCTCTCTTTGTCGTTTTCTTGCTTAGACAAAGTCTAGCATGACTTTTGCTCATGACGAGAAAGGAAGAAGGAGAGAAACACAAATGCATACTAATCCAGGTCTTGTTTTCTCAAAAGTTGAGAAGGAATTTGATCACATAGTCGTGAAAATTGAAGAATTAAAGCTACTAATTGAGATAAAGCTTGAGGAATCACAATCATCCTTGGAGGTTCATAAGTTATGGTTACAACACTTAACTAGTTATTGCTACATCAAGAAGTGGTCTCTACCAGATTACTAAAGTCCACCCTGTGATCTGTCATTCAGTACAATAAGATGGCTCATAACAATGAATCTTTAAATAAGATAAGAAATGTAATATTGCAAGAATTCAAAGAGTCAAGAAGGAGGATAAGAATGGTGTCTCTCACAACAATAAATTCAAGAAGGAGGATAAGAATGGTGTCTCTCACAACAATAAATTCAAAAAGGTGGATAGAAAGGACATGCAATGTTATTATTGCAGCTAAAAGTTTGGTTATTATGCAAGAGATAGCTACGCTACTTCAACAAATAATTCAATCGTAGTGACAAAGAATAAGCATAAATTGCAAATGCATGAGAGAGATTATAAGGAGGTCATTATTTCAATGACAAGTAACTTGATAAATTGCTTGAAAAGAACTATACCATGAGGTTAGTAGACTAGGAGTTAAAGGTGTTCAATGCAAGTTTCAAGCTAATATTAGAGATGTGATCATCTAAACTTCCAAAGTCTTATCTTAATGAACATAAATAAAATTGAGTATGGACTGCCTCAAATCAAAATGCCAAATCAGCTATGTGAAAATTGTTATATAGTCGTGCTGATAAGGAAGTCATCCAAGCTTGAATCGCCTATATTGTTCACTAGATACCCATAAATGATATTTCCTGGCCTTCATATAGATGAATTCACATGGTATATGTGGTTGATGGATAAGAAAAGTGAAGTATTCATAAATTCTAAGAGATTTAAGTTGTTAGATATGAAAAGCAAGATTAATGTGACATTAAGAGGTTGAAAATTGACGGAGTGGTGAATATACTTCAATTGAACTTGAACAATTATGTGAGAAAAAAATAATTGAAAAAAAGAATTTAGCATGAGATAATAGTTCCTTACTCTCTCGGTACAATGACAGTGTTGAAAGAAAGAATATAGTCACATTGAACATGGAAAGAAGTATGATCAGGAAAAGAAATTTTCCAAACCATTTATGAAGGGAGGCAACATCAACTACATTTCTCATCATAACAGGTCATCATAACAGGTCCTACAAAGAAGTTCAACAGCGAGACACCATATGAAGTGTTGGACACTATAGGATCTTTGGCTCACTCAGTTGTACACACTTAACTGAGTTTTTATACTAGGATGAACTCAAAAACTAAGTAAAATTTTAATCAGGGTAATCTTCAACCGATAAGATTTTAATGATTGATTTTCACGAACTAAGAGCGCTTTTCATTTTGGAGAAACTCACGAATTAAACTAAGACTTCCTAAGACAATCTTTCAAACCAAACAAGATCTTTTACAGGTTTAGCTCACAACCAAATAACTTTCTATTAAATGATATTTTACACAAGAGATAATACATTTTTGATAAATTACAATTAAGACTTCACTCAGAATAATAATTTTTACTTAGACTCAAGAATACTCTCGAAGCATTATGATCAAATAATTTTGATAAAAATGAGAGATTTATAAAAAATGACGAGAGAAATGAAAGTGTAATCAAATCACATTTTTTGGTTAGGAAAAAGTGACAGAGAACTCTCTATTTATAGAATAAACTATGGTTTAAATTTAGAAACAATCAATGGGCCAAATTAATGCCATAATCGATTATTGACCTTCAATAATTCATTGTTCAAGCAACAAATAGAAGATTTTTTATATTTAATTGTAATCAATCATTAAGAGAATGTCCCAATCTATTTTAGACTCAACTTAGTGAAAATAATCGATTAGAATATTATGTAAATAGATTATTCAATTGGTAAAAATCTTCCAATCAATTAGACACTCCCTTAATCGGTTAGCCAGGCTATAGAAATATTTTTAGGTGGTTCAAAAAAATTTGAGAGGCTTCTCAAAAGTTTATAGTGTGTGTAACTTTACTATAGTATTTCCAGAAGTATCATTGTGTCTTTAGAAGACACTGGTCACTCAGACAAACACGATCATGCGAGCTTTCATACTTTTTCTCTTTCATAACTTTGACACTTCAAGTGTTAGCATCATTATCTTTGACTTTAGAATCACATAAGAACCTTGAATCTTCTTAAAGAGGCTTCATATATCTTCACGTTGATTGCCATTATCTGAGAATTGAAAGGTTACACCATCGGCAACTCTTGAAACATAAGTCTTCACTTGAATGTTGTTTGACCATACATAGTATTGACTTCAAAGAGATGAATTGATCTTCAAGATGATAGTTTGATGACCATATTTAGCAACAATGACCTCTTGATATATCTTCACCTGATAAAGAAGATAGTTATCTTCATTAGATAGCATTTGATATCAAGTGTTATCATCACCAAAATTAAACAAATACTTAATTGACTGCAACTATGCTATCGACAAATTTCACTACCTTAGATCATCTTGATAATACATGCAAGTACATAGATCCACAAATAAGGTTTTACTACGAGGTTCGAGAAGAAGGATGGACGATTTCAATGGAAATTGGGTTTAGGATCTTCCACACATTTTATAAGCTTACGGCAACATCCCTCACTCTTCCATAAACGAAATACTCTTCTGAATCACCTACGGATCAAAAGCAATCATCCCAATAGAAATGGATGATCTTAGATGGAGAATCTTTCACCTGGTCCCCCGGGGAGCTAATGAACAAGATTGCTAAGAATAATCATATCTATTAGAAGAATGAAGAGATTCGGTCGTCCTAAGTGAGACCTTAGTAAAGTAGAAGATTACATCCAAATATAATACGAAGTTCTTGCATAGAGTCTCTACTTATGCAGATCTTATATTAAGAATAGCATATGTACACCACATCGCCACATTAGGGGGGGAGTCTAGCTCCAAACTAGAAAGGACCATATCAAGTTACTTCTAGCTCATGAAAAAAGGCATACACTTTAGAAACCTACATGGGACATGATACCTTGAACATGGAATGCAACAAAATTTAAATTATTTTTTAGTTAGGTGGTCATTACATTTTGTAATTATCACAATTTAATATGCAAAATTCTCCAATCAAGTCTTTTTAATTTTTTTTTATACTTCCTACAGTGATGAGAAAAGAAATGCAAAACTTGTTTTCCGAAGAAACTAGGACGAAGGTCAAAGCCACTGTGATGGCAACAACACTCAACATGTTAACAACGAGCGGGAAAAGACGTATTTTAAAGTGATCCACACTTTCTAGAGTTTTAACTATTAAGGGATAAAGATGAGATACTTATGGTTCGGAACACCCTCAGAAACAGATAAGGAAACAAAACAAATAATATGTGCAATAACATAAAACATTCAAATAAAATAGAGGAAAATACATGATATTCATCTTAGATTACAACAAAAGGTTGGGATTAAAGAGACCACAACCACATAAAAGAAATAAAGATAGAATATCAGCTATTGGGAGAGTCTACCATGTCCCCCTCCACAAACGCCTCGTATCTGTCAATACCTTCTAAATTAAGACCAACAACAAGTATTAAGAAAGATGATTTGGGGCATGACTGCATCAAACTCCTAGTGACTAACATATATTATGATATCATGAAGAGCCAGTCTTTCCTCGACAAATTACAACTCCAAGACAATGTTCTGGTCGGTAAGGAATTTCACCTTTTCACACACCTCCTTCAAATTTTCATTTAAATATTATTGACTCTCCCCCAATAAGGAAAGCTCTTTATATTTATCCTCTAAGGATTTTTAGGAAGTTAACAAGTTATCCTTGGCTTCCTTCGCCTTCTCCTTGGCATCTATCGCTTGTTTAATAGATTAATATATATCCTGATAAGTCTGCTTCAACTCCTCCTCTAGAGTTTCGATCCTAGACCAAACCCTTTCTTCTCCAGTCCTAAAATTCTCATATATATTGGACATGGAATCGATAAGGGTCAGAGCTTTATCTAAGTATGGGACACATTCTGAAAAAACTCGTTGATTATCCGAAGACCCTAACTTTATAAAAGTTTTACAACCAGCATCCGAAATCAATCCAAAGAGCTAGTCAACAGAAGTTAAGTAGGGACTATAAAAATTAGGATAAGATCCCCCTTTTCGTGACCACTATCCAAAGTTTACTTCCTCTTTTTAAGATTAGGATATTCCACTGAAGGCGAATGAGTCACCAAATTTGCATCAATAGATGAGGTACTCCCCCACATCACCAGAATTCAAACCTTTGTGACTTGGCTTCAATAACCTTTGCTTTCATTTAGGTGTGGGACTACTTCCAAGACTTGACCTGATCATTAGATGCCATGATATCTTCCAAAAGGAGAACAAAATTATTCCATCAATCTAAGAAAGGAAGGTCTAAAACACATGAGAGACAAGTAAATCAACAAACACACCTATCAAGTTCCTAGACTCTTCCCAATAATCTACAACAAAAACTTAAGACGGAGTAACCACAAATTGATCCCTAATTTTGTGAGACCCTTTTCATAGTCACATATATTAGAATAGTAAAAAACTCTAACCAATTCTACCACCATAAAATGGAATTTTAAATTCTTTAAAGAACCAGTAAACAACTCTAACAGACCCAAAGACTGTTCAAAATATACTGAACCAAAAGGGAATTTTTTTTTCCTAACCAACATGGAATGCATGAAAGAC